TTTACATCTGTACAAGTTTTATGTTTTGAAATATCCAGATTATCGTTGTTCTATTGCAATATTTTTGTCACGAATGACGGGGAAAAAGCCGAACGGGGGTACGTATATAGCTGAGTGTCTCCGAAAGAGAATATAACTGATGAAAATAGATTAACATACCTGTTATAAGTGACTAAATTCCATATGAATTTCACTTGATATTCACGATATTTCCCTTTTAACTCCATTTTACGTATCTTTATACATGCAGTCTGAGCCAATTTTTTTTACACGACATGATCAATTCTGAAGTTACTTGATTTACACATATGACGTCAGCATAACAAAATAAAAACATTATCTTTTTTAAATCTTTACAAGTTTCTTTTTTTTATTTTCTAGAGTTAAATTACATCTCTAATTGCGAATATTACGAAACCTTGTGTTCTAAAATTGACGTCATCTCGCCTACCATGACGTCATAATGTAACACTGGCTAAGTCAAGGTAGATATTTTATATGCTTCCTTATTACCCCTGCGTGCTAAAAGTAGATAAAATATTTCCTGGACTTTCAGACTAAATGTACTAAATTTATGACAACATAAAAGGATACAAACAGCTTTAATCTTCTTTAATAGTGGTATACCTATTAAAAGGAAACCGGAAAAAAATCATCTCACAATGTATCGCTCTTTGTGTCTTCTTACTTACGATCATCATTTAAACGACATATACATGTATTTATAATGGATTACCTATTACTACTGGGGAGCCTTTTCTATTCTGTGTCAGGTAATGCAGTTATATTTTAGAAACTTTTTTCTGTTCGATTTTATTGCTTCTTTTTTCTCAGTTCTTAAGAATGCGGTTACTTTTGACATTTTGATTTCTGAGAGAGAGAGAGAGAGAGAGAGGATACGTTACGAATTCACAGCTTTATATCACGGTATATATCATGTGTCTAGAACTATGCATTGTCCCTGATTTGAATGGATATATTATCATTGATTTTTTAGTGGTTAGGGCGTCAGCTCTAGAGTGGCGAAGTAAGGAGTTGATCCTTACGTCGCGGGTTCGAATCCCACTGTGTGCCATGAAGACTGGTCCTTCGGATGAGACTGTATACACCAAGGTCTCGTGTCGCAAGAGGTGCTGGCACAAAAAATACCTCCCTGCTAAATGGCCCTGCGTGCCGAGTATAGGACAAAATTTGCAGCTCTCCACCGACACGTGGTGGCGTATCCAAATGAGTGAAAATTCCCAAGAGGGACGTTAAACAATTTACATACAATCAATCAATGATTTTTTTAAACCCCTATTTGAATTTTGCGCAAACATAAGATGTAGATAGTACATTTCATTTTATATATCAAGCTTTTACACATTCTTTGATATAAATTATTTTTTACAGATAGTTATTCCGATAAGTTTACTAAATACCCCACCCACTCAAGATTTTTAATAGGGAACGTTTCAAAAGTGGTCAACGGGAATCGATAATTAATATAGGAGGTAATATGAAATTGCGAGTTTGTGGTATCAAAGTGATAATTTAGAAAAATTCTGCAATAGAATTTTTATTCATATTAAAAGACAATATTAACAAGATAATTCACTAGCAAATTATGCCAAAAAAGGTCATTGGCCTATATTGTTAAGGAATGGCATATTTTGGGGAAAATTTGTATTGAAAATACCTTGGCAAAAGAAATTGTGTTGTTTTATTTCCCTATTCTTCAATTTACTTTTACACTAAATACAAAAAATAAATTAAAGTTGTTTAAAACTCTTAGGATGGTGATAAAGTATGATTTATGTGAGATATATGTCTATAATACTCAAGGGATTGTCTCAAAGCCGGATGTTTGTGACCCATGGTAAGAAATCCCAGTGTAAGAAATCAGTATCTGCAAGCCTGATTATTTCAAAAGTTAAAGGTTTTCTTAGCATAATTTACTCAAATGCATGTACATGATACAGTGTTTGTCAAATTAGAAAATAATACACTCGTAGCATAGATAGTAAAAGGTTAAGTGTTTAAGTATAAGGGACTGTTTTAAGATAGGTGTTTTTTGATTTTTGTTCTTTGAGGTATTTTACTCAGTCTTTACTATGTACATGGTGTTTATTTGACTCTCTTTTTTGATGGGGTTCTCTACTTTTTTATTGGACCAGGAGTTTTAAACTGAAATGTGGCAAAATTTGGCATATCGTTTTTTATTTTCTCTTAAAGACTCATTTTCCACAAAATATGCTTTTAGCCAACTTAAAAAAAAACACAATACAGTAAAACACGCTTATGATGAATTGACACTTACAGCAAATTGATTTTCGTTCACTTTGACTTGATTAATAAAATACTTTAAACTACATTTGTCTGTCGCTGCAATTTGTGTTCTTGTTTTACTGTATTTGATCGAATATGGATGCATTCATCATGAAAATAATACAGAAAAACAAAATCTAATGGTCCACATTGCTCACCTTAGCTCACTAGCTAAAAAAAGCAAAAATCATTTCACTATTACGAGAAGTTTTCAATGGGGATGGGGGGGGTGTTAAACAACCCCATGATGCTTCCAAATCAATGTAAGAAATGGCTTTGCTGTTTTATATATAGATTCTATTTTTTATTTATTCTTTTGAAATCCCCTCACCCAGAATCCGCTCTAGAATCGTATCGATAATGGGGGACAGGCGGTCCTACATTTGGCCGTAGTTTATGAAGGTGTTTGTACTTGCTGCACTTCATTTTTTTAATGAAAATCGAAGCAGTCAGCATTACTGTCGAGTCAGAAAAGTCATCAACATCAAAACATATTTTGTTTACTCGCCATGCGCTTATGGCAAATATCGTAAAATAATCATTTACCTATAGAATCAACAAATAAATATAAATCAAATTGTGTAAAATATTTTTGAATTGGGAGTAAACGTTTGAAACTCTTTGTTAAAATTAAAAAAATGTACATCCATAATCTTTTGCAATACATAATTACGTCAATCTGATTCAAGTCAGATGCGCGACTTTCTGCGCAGTGGCGCGAAATTTCGAATTAGGTCTTTCATCCTTAAGACAAATTTTAAGCTTACTCAAGCAGACGGACATAACGAATTGTTACTGCTCCTGTTAATTAACGTTGTACGTGTATGAAAATATTTCAAAAAGATTTTTTTTATCATCACTACTGATGAATGTACATCTATAATGAAAAAAAAATTATTGAAAAATCGACAAAATTATACGTGACTTACACATGTAACAAATTCTGATGTCATCTGATATCTGATTTTGTTATAGTGTTATTTTTCACTCTCGGAAGTAAATTTCTATATACTTATCCGTATTTACTTCCGAAATTCTTCATTGAATTCATTCTTAAAGGAAACGTGGTTTTCGTGGTTTCATGGAAGTTATTTGTAGTTTGTTTTTAAAATTGCGTGCATCTAAACTTTTGTTTGCCATATACCCTGGATATTTTTTTATTATTACTTGCTGTTTCGGTTAAAGTGAAATAAAGCAAACACCTCTTTCATTGTCATTTCTTCTAAGTAAAATAATTAGGCACGTTTGATATATGTACAAAATTGCCATGTATTTACATTGTTAAGAGATTTCAATTAAAAACAACATGCACCCAAAAGCAAATTAATAAACTGGTAGATCTCTCTCTCTCTCCCACTCTCTCTTTCTCTCTCTTTCATAAAACATAATCTAATAAAATCTACAAGGAGTCATTATTCTACAGGGGTCATTTTTCTTTACGTATGGTATGCAGATATGGGTACTGCTACTTTTTCAATTTTTTTCGACAACGAATGATTAACGAGTTGCATTTTATGAGGTTGAAAAATGACCCTTGATAACCATTTTACAGAAGAAATAATTTGTCTTCACACTGTTTTATTTTTGCAATACCTTTTCATGCGGAAAATAATAAAGTCAACGTATGTTCACATGTACAATGATGCATATTTTTTTGAAAAATTGAAAGTTCAATATTGCAGTGCATTGATTTTTCCCATGATGGAAAAGATGCATAACCAAAAAAGTTTCTATATCAAAACGTATCAATTTTTATTCCGAATATGATGGCCATTTCTCAGACAATTATGCGTTATGTGCTGATTAACAAACGTAAATATAAGATAATGTTTTACTTATCCATTTCTAAGGCAGGACAAGTGTAACTCCAGAGATTTCAACAACTGTCCTCTCGGAGTTTCCAAAAACAAAATCAGAAACAACCACAAGTTCTCCAGATGAAGACAGTGCATTAACAACAGGTAGCATAGGCAGGTTTCAGGTTTATTCTTCCTATAAGAGAAATTGAGATGTGTTAAAACTGACTTAAACTCCAACAAATCAATTGTCGATGTACATACATACCATTACCTATTAGGTTTTTCACTGACTGTGTACAAAAAATATAATTGGCAAAACAATCACTTAGATGTGGAAGCTAAGCACTCAGTAAAAAAACTAATTTAAGATATCTAGGGTAAAGTACTTGAAGATCAAAACGGTATAGACTTCCATATCTCTTGACATATCAATGGTATTCGAGATACCCGTGTTCGAGGATCTAAGAACTTCACCTGTATATATTTATCAAAGATCAAAGTGTGAAGTAATTAAAAATAAGATTCATAATTCTCGATTTAACTCAGGTGAACATTTTGGCCCATGTCATTTGATTTATACACATCATTCTAATTCTTTAAAATACCCATCTCAACCCCCAACCCCCCCAAAAAAGAAAAAAACATGATAAAATCTACAATGAGTCATTATTCTACTGGGGTCATTTTCCTTTACGTGGGGTATGCAGATATGGGTAATGCCACTTTTTCTTCAGAGAAAAGGGTATTTATCGACGTCTTAGGGTTGAATTGAAAATTGACCCTCGGAAATTATTTTTAAAATGTCATAATTCGTCTTTAAACCGTTTTATTTTTGCAATCCTCGTTATGCTGAAAAACAATAAATAAATCGTATTAACAATACTGCTGGAATTTTGTTTGAAAAATTGAAAATTCAATATTGCAGTACATTGATTTTTTTTTTATCATGGAAATATACATCACCAAGAAAGTATTTTCTGTTACAAAACGTATAATTCTTTTTATTTAGAATACGATGGTTATTCCTCAAACAATTATATAATTATATGCAATGTGTTTACTGAAACGAATATAAAGGATATGTGAAAACTTTCCATTAAAAAGACAGGACAAGTGTACATGTATCTCCCGAGATTTCAACAACTGTCTTCTTTGAGTTTCCAGAAAGAAAATCAGAACCAACCACGCGTTTTCCAGATCACGGCAATACAGTAACAGCAGGTACATGTAGCGCAGACATGTTTCAGGTTTATTAAAAAAGATGAATTTTGTATGAACATTAAAATTGTTTGACAAACATCATTTGATACATGTATATTATAAATATTGTGTAATGTTGTTTTTAAAAGTAGCCTGTTTGTTTCAGTAGGAATTGTTTATGTTGGTTTACTTGATTAGATCGTGATGTAAAATGAAAAAAAAAAATAGATAGACATGTAGTTTGAAAATGCAAAGTCCGACAAACATGCTATATGCATATCTTCAAACTTAAAAAAATGATGTTTTAAACCTCGCAACCTATAGAAAAGGTAGAGTAATGGCATGTTACACTGCATAATTTTAGAATATTAAGACTATATCTTAAACTTAAGATATACTGGATTTAAGGTTTTTGAATTATGAAGGAAAATCCACACCGGAAGACTGTAGATTGCCGGGCTTCTTATACAGAGGAAAACAACGTGTAACAAAGTCAGGGATACTGTGTCAAAGATGGGATGTGCAGAGCCCACATGAACATAATTATTTCATATTTAGACTTGCACAGGAGAACTACTGTAGAAACTTTGACAGAGAAGAACCATGGTGTTTCACTAGTAACTCAAGTGTTCGTTGGGAACTTTGCGGTGTGGACATTTGCTGTAAGTGCTTTTGCACTATATTTTAATGTATTGATATTAATGTTTTTATATTCATCTATTTTGTATATAGATTTGGCTCATTATCTTGAAGTATTATTGCATTTTTTCTTCCTTTAAGCTTCACCATGTCTAAACACATCGTTTGATACTCAAAAAATAGCATCTCAGTGTGTTGTTGCTGAACCAACCGGTACTGAATTTTGCAGGTAATGTTTTACTTTTTTCGTATAAAAAGAACTTACTCATACATCAAAGAAGATTTTAGTTATAATGCAAACATAAAATCATAAATCTTATATAAATTTATGAAAATATGGATAATTTCCTAAATCATTTAAAATTAAAGAGTATTGGAAAACCAATAGCTTAGTCCCTTGAAAGGAAAAGTCTTAATAAGGTTATCTGTGGTTCCAGATTACTCGTCAAATTTCGAATATTTATCAAAAGCCTTAAAAAATAAATTTTATTATTAACTTATGTCTTTATTATTTCGGATTTGAGCAGGAAATACATGTAGGTCAATTTTCGAAATTTCTCATTTTTATGCAAATTTTCAAATTTTAGCACAGAAAATAAAAGCATGCCTATCTACCCAATTTATATATTTTATACACTGATATCAGATGCAGTATATGTGCAGATAGGCAAGCGTGTGCTGAAGTTCCCAAATATGAGAAATTTTTTTGTTTTTTAGGCTTTGAATCAAAATATCAATTTTAAAATCAAAATAACAGTCCTTTTTTATTAACTTATGTCTTTATTATTTGAGCCACACACTTTAAAACTGAAGTTAGAGTTTTTTGTTTTTTTGTCAAAAAAAAATAAGATACACACTTTAAAAGTAAAAAATTTTTTTTTTTCAGAGTCGAGCATGATATATTCTGTAACGTAATATTATATGTGTAAAAGTTGTTGAACAACCTTGTGCTCTATGTTCTTTAATTAAAAGTATTGTGATATTGAACCTCTTCACTGTCTTCATTTAAATGCAATTTATCTCTTTATGACATGTTTAGATTCATAACAAGCCACATGGATTTGTGTTCTTACGGGTAAATGTCTGAAGTAAACGTGCTAGCTAGCGCTCAGTTGAAGCATACTCAGTTTTATATCGGTCAACATGGGCTTGTTTTGTTAATCTTGTTATAGTGTTGCATTGCTCAAGTTCTGTAAATAAAAAATGGTATTTATGTTAATTGTGAATCTTAACCATATAATTCATCGTTGAAAGGAAAATATATATCAGGTATATACTTTATATAATATCTAATCTAAATGTCTCCGCCCATTTCCATTTAAAAGAGAACCCGTAGTCTAATGGAAGAAAATGTTCCGACATTTTTTTTTTGTGAGATGAGTGTTGAAAAATGGCTGATATTTCTTTATATATGTTTAATTATTTATTATAAATACACAATGCTTTAATTAGAAATACTTTGTTATATACAATGAAATTAAACAAACCACCTTTTGCTAATATCTGGACCAGTAAAAGGTGTAAAAAAGGGACAACGCTACTATACAGAAATGAATACTCCTTTATTGTCAGCTAATTGCCATGTAAGATGCACTTAAGATGCATCATTAAAATAAAATTTTTGAATTTTTCTCATGTATATACAAATATAATATAAATTTTTAGAAGGAAATTATTCACATCTACACATTTATCGAATTCTATAGATTATAAAGAACCATGGATATTTTTTAAAAACCAGTTTTTTTCTTTTCAGTCGCTTCTGGAGAATTGTTGGATGTCTGAAGGATAACATTGAAGTTTCTACGGATATCCCATGTTCTGGGATTGAGTTAAAATCCATTGCTTTGCAACGACAGGACATGTTAGAAAGGTTAATGGGAAGGTCAATCTCTCAATGTAAGTGACTCTTTCTACTCTTTCTGCTGCTTGAACGAACTCACATATACGAGACAAAACAATAATAAGGTAAATTGCAAATATTCATTAATATCTGTGCAATTTAAACTTCAGAAAGAAAAACGTGATTTCTCATCGATGTTTTCCAAAAGATATGTCTTTACAGACGTAACCACACTGCACAATTATATTCACAGGTCACAAAACTACTTTCTTCTGTGCCATTCGAGTGTCATATAAATGATATGCAATACATGATAATAATTGTTTTATTGAAATTCACTGATATTGAATTATTCAATTTGTTGATTATTTCAGAAGACGTATAATTGTGTTGAAAGTACCCTTGATATTGATCCTTGAAATTGACGTTTAAGTCTGCTGGAAAACATTATTTTGTCTTCACGCCATACGCATTTATGTTACCTTATAATTTAACCTTTGAGATATTAAAAAAACGGATTTATTTACTTACAATTAGCACCAAAAACTTCAGTCAGCATTTGTCTCAATGATGTATATGCTAACAAGGTCATAATATCGACCAAATATGATTTGAAATGATGACTTTAAACCAAACTGTTGAATTTAGATTAACCGGAAAGTTTTTTTTTACTATGATTAGTCATCAGCTAGAACATTGAGTTTATATAAAAAAATATTCATATTCCTGTATCATCAACTGGTATATCAATAATTTACCTCGTTTTAAAAAAATAGTACATACGTAGAGCATGTTCTTGCGCATCGAATCAACTGAGAGATATAAACTCCGTATTATACATTAAGACATTCATAATATATTAATATGTTACTAACAGAACCCTTCATGTAAATTTAATTGTACGTAAGCACATAACTTAAAAAGTAAAATCAAACCGACCATGTAATGCAAAAATATTTACTAAACGCATTTTTAAGCTTATAAAAGCCTTAACATAGGTTAAACCATACCTGCAGCATGTTTTTGCAACAAGACAGCGAACTAAAGGAACATTATTCAAATTCTTTTTTACACTTACAGGTATTAAAGCTCCGTGCACAGATCCACGTTTGGCAACTATTGTAGGACTAGTCCAGTACGCAAACCCTTGCAATCTACAATATCCCCTACAGAGGTCAACCCTAGATACATTATGCAGGTAAATATTTGAACATTTGTCGTCTAACAATGTTTTGCTTCATTGCTGTGAACAGCAAAAAAATTGCAATTCAGAAGTACACTCAAAAATGGAACTTTAACTTTCAAAACTTTGTACGGAATTCGGAAATTACTGCAGTATTAATTTTCTTTCGCGTAAAAGACTTTTTTTCCGGATTTTCATTCATTAGAATGAAATTTGAAGAAATAATACACCTTTTATTTCTTATCTCATTTTTATTTCATCATTACTTATTCGGAAGAGGTGGGTTTGGCCTGAAACTCTATACAGGTATTTATCTAGTCAGATTTCATTATTTTGTAATCAATGGGATCGTAAAAATCTTCGAGAGATCCGATAAAAAAATTACGGATTAAGCGGTAGGGACTTCCAAATCACTTCGAGATCCACTTCAAGTAAAGTTTTATACTTTCAAAGTCAGAAAAAAAATCATTAAAAACTTTCAAAACATTTTCGAATACACTGCAACCAGCCTTTAAAGGCATACAAACAATCATGGGCAACACATACATATATAATTTTCCAGTCGACAGACTTGAGATATGATAAAATAAAAATGTCAATAAAATTAGTAATCATTTCAAAAACTCTTTGGTTGATACAATAATCTTGTTAGCAAATACAATCTACCGTTAAGTCAAATGTTGTTTGATGTTTGTCATACATGTAAGTATAATTTACAATATGCTTCTTTACAATTATAATAACTCATTAAGTAAACATAATGATACAAGTGGAAATTATTTGTCACTTGCATAAATTCATAATATCAAAATACAAATAAATACATAAAATCGTTAAATTTTTAGCTTGCAACAATTAAATCAAGATGAAAATTCAATAATTATTTTTCTTCTATTATCAGCAATTTTCATCGTGTTGCAAATTGTGTGGTTTCAAAAATTAATGATGAAACGAATTCTACTTGTCTGACAAAGGATAAAGTATCATCGGCAAGACAATTTGCAGCCTTATTACCACAAGATGCCGCCAATGTTAGCCTTTGTAAGAATATTTTACTTGCATCTTTACATTCTAATGTATTCTTGCATACTCAATGCTATAGATGTTTTAGGGTACCATATGCAGTAATGGCCAATATTTGCCCCACCCCCCCCCCCCCCAAAAAAAATTCTACAGAAAAAAGATGTACACTGTATATTACGCCGAAAATTTGAAAAAAAATCGCTGAGCGCAGGTCAGCTATAGCTCAATATTTTAATATAGTGATTAAAAAAACATCAATAAGATGTGTTGATTTTTTTCCTCTTTCTGATAAATAATACGAAATCCGCATAGTTTGTGGCGTTATAAGACAAAGATTGTCAATAACCCACTTTGAAATTTAAATATATTTTATTTTTTCCTGATACTATCTATACATATACAATTCAGTATATTTGAAGTCATTTTCAAAGTAAGACTTTTGTTCGGGCAAAAATAGGCAATATACCGCACCGAGTCCTTTCTTTAAAATAGATTTATAAATGATGAGGATATTTACACATTCGAAGTTCAGCTTAAAGGATTGCTACTTATCTTTATATTTCACAGGAGAATAAGTGTGTATCAGTTTACCTTCGTTTTTCAAGAATACAGATAATTTTTTTATTTTTTGGGGGAAGTCGGCTCAGTTTCAAGTTGTTTCAAACATCAAACTATTTGTCTCGTTCAAACATAAATTTTGTTTGAATCACAACTCTGTCTCCTAAAAAATGTTTTATTTCCACATAACTTATCCATGGAATATTATCTATATAACGTCTATTAAAAATGGGTTTTAAAACTGTTATTTTGTAATTTCAAATATGATCAAAACTTTTGTTTAAATTTTCATGGTTGTTTTTTTTTTTAGGTATATCGAAAATATCTGAGTTTCCAGTGTCAAAAGAAGGTATTTTTTGAACGGTATAGTTTTTGTAATGACAATACTATAGTTAGACAAATCTCTTCGGGTTAAATAATGATTGAGATCTAGTCAATGAGTCTTGACAGCTTTTTACAGCGCCAGATGACCAATGACGTCAAAATTTTAATTCTAACTATATAAGGTTCTGTTCATACGGGATTAATGTCAGGATTTGGTAATATCGTATTAAATAAACTTAATTGAAAACTGGAGAAAGAAAAGTAATGTTTGAATTTCACTATCAGTAATGCTTAAGTGCCGCTCAAACGAAAGAGATCCGTTACTCTTACAGTAGAAATTAAACCTTTACACGTGTTGTGTTATTAACCACATGAACTTTATGACATTCTCCTGTTCAATACATCGCAGTTTTTCAGTGACTATACGTCATATTCCTTTATATTTCCATTTCCAATGTCTTTGTCCGAGACAAAATTAAAAATTTTAAAAATAAAAACTTTATTTTTACATAAATCTACTGGTTTATCGATATGCGCGGTAAAAAAGAATAAAGTATTGGGCATGGATAAAAATACAAAAGCAGTGGGTGTAGCTAGTGAATCTGTGGAATCAAGGGCCTGTGAATTTATATCAGGAATAAGTGTCAGATTTGTTTTAAAAATTCATGACGATGATCAATCGTTTGGTTCAGAGTTTATGCAAATTATCACACAAACCACTCGATTGATCACATCAGGAAATAAAAAAAAATAGACAGTTATTCCTTAATTGAATGACATCATATCTTGGTACATGTCCTTAGTCAGTTAGTAATATAGTATAGCATATTTCTCTTGCCTTTTAGAGCCATGTCTCAGAATAATCCCACCCCTGATTTTAAAGGTCCATGTTTAATTTGTTTTCTTTGATTGGACTGTTGAGCATGATCATTGTTACATGTACATTGTAGCTATCACCTATTTCTTAATTATATTCTCCTTTCCTGAAAATAGATTCTCCAGATTCACCTAGCGTAGTCCAGCAGGACATGACAGGGAAATTAGATCAGACACAGTTGTTTAGTAAGTTGAGAATAAATGAATGTTACTCAATATGTGGAAATATTACTGACATTGAAAAGGTATGCTTTTAATACATGAATACTGAAGTAAATCTATTACTATCAATTACTTATCTTTTTTCAGTTTTAATAGGATCTACAATTGTTGTTCTTTTCGCTGGCATCCTGGTTTTTACCGTGATAATAACGAGGTAAGTACCAGGCTCTTCGATTCATAAACACAATTTTTTTTCTCTGAAGAATTTGGGGTTCGTTTTTAAATTATGATTATAGAAAATATTCTTCAAAAACAATTCTAATAAGTAGTCAAAACTTACATAATATAATAGCTGTAAATAAGGAACTAATATTTAAATCTTTAAATCTACTCTTAGTAATGATTAAGTATTGATTTTGGTCATCCTTCGATGGATACCATCTCCCATACACTATGTATTTGATTCACTTCTGTACAAATATGTGCTATTTTGTGATCCTATCACAAATTAAGAATAAAAAAACAATAAGAGTGAAATAAATGCATTTTTAACAAGACCAAACACAGTCTTCTATTCCCCACTTAACTATCGTTTTGTTTATATGTATGTAAGAGTTATTTTAGTAGAAACTGATTTTAATAAAATCCAGGTAGTAAATGATAGAAAATGATTAACAAATAAGATATGACAAATATAAATACTGGTAATCAAATATATGACACACAACAGCCTTTTAAGCAGTTACATAATGAGGCTACCTTGATGGCTTTGGAATAAAGAGCAAACAGGAAAATAAAACTTAAGTAAGAAAGTGAAAAGAATACGTTGTAGAGTAACGAGCAGGCACCATCGCGATACGCCGGACCTAGGTTCCGCCTTCCTTATTTACTTAGATTTTATTGGTGGTCTGTTTGAGCTGACGCTGACGTTTCAAAGACGCCCAGAGTATTCAGTGCAAACACCGAAAGGGGACTATACACTGAATCAAACTTCCAAGTGTTCACATTAAGTTTTTTTTTAGGTATTTAAGAACAAATGCAAATAATAGATAATTTCTTTTATTCATGGTTAATGATGCATATTTGAGTTCGATGTTGCGTAAATGAAAATTCACACGAAATAATCTCTATAGAGTAAGACCATCACTCGCCCTACATGTAATTACGGCAAGACATCATTTACTGTTTGATATCATGTACTCCAGAATAGTAGATTGACACATCTGCTGCTACACCCATTGCATAGATCTTTCCAAAACGTTGAAATGGTGTGGAAAGGAGGGGGTTGGCATTCCTTATAAAATCCCAATTGTGTTCATTGAGATACAGATCCGAGAATTTGACAGTGCATCTTCACACAGAGACCTTTTGGTCAATATCCCCGGGCGTTGAGCATGTAAGTGCATCCCTTTAAGGATGATTTAGACTGCTTGAGCTGATATTAGACTATCACGAGCATCAATTTCTTTTAATTTTCATACAATTGAAACTGTTTGTTTTAATGTTTCTAAGATTGTTTCAGGACAATTGAACACTTTTTAAATCTGGCGTGATGCAAAATTTAGGCCCCAGACGAAGATCAAAGTCACTTCCGGTTTGGTTAAATTTTGTCCAAAGCTTTCAAGTTGTAATAAATTTGGCGATGAAAATGACGCACAGCCTGTAGAAAAAATGTATTTAAATGGGTTTTGATACCGGTTGTTAATTTTTAAACGTAATATCAAGGACAGTTTAACACTAAAATAAAAGTAAGTAAAACGTGATGCAAGGATGGGCCAAATTTTTATCATTCCAACGGCTCTCCCTTCTATTTCAATGGTCATTTTGCCATTTTTTTTTAAATTAAACTAGTTTTAAAAATTTTGATAGTGATCACAAAATGATGCTAATTACACAAAGCACGTGCCGCTAAATACAGATTTATTGTTTTTAAGCTTCGTCACGGCATTGGTTTTCATCGGTGTTATTTGATTTTCTTTCTACAATTGTTGAGAAGACTTACGTGTAATAATTTAGTTTTAAATTAAGTAGTTTTTAAATAAATGCATTTATTAAAGTGAACTCTTACAAGTTTTGTTAAGTGTAGACAAGCATAGAAATACTTCGTCAACTTTACATTCTTTGCTTCTTATGTTTGGTTTACTATTACTTAAAATAAATGATGTATTGAAACAGTTAAGGTTATTACATAACGTGATCTTTTATAATTAGTGACGTCTTGATTTTATAGCAATTTTTAATGATATCTTATTACAGAAAAATGCTCTTGAAAAAAAGACGCAGTGAACTCTTGCGCCTTCCTGCTATTCCGAGAACAGAACCTAGTCCATATGAAACCAAAATGACCTTCTCGAATGATCCGTACAATGATCCCAATTATGATTTTGTTGAAGAACAAGACGACAATTATGAACATTTGCCTGAACCAAGGGAAGAAAACGAAACTACAACTGACAAGGAGCGAATGAATGTTGCTTCTTACTTGGATCCTACAAACCTAGATGATACTTATCTAGAAGTAATGCATTCCTCAAATGAAAAAAGTTATGAGTTGATAAATGATTCCGTTGAAAGTACGACTACAAGGGAAAAGAACGAAACTCCAATTGACAAAGAGCGAATGAGTGAAGCTTCTTACTTGGATCCTATAAATCCGGAGAGTAACTACATGTATCTTAAAGTAATGCAGTCTTCAAATGATGAAAGTAATAGGAATGTCAATCCCTACACAGAGTTGATAAAGGATTCCGTTGAAAGTACGGATAGAACGCAAGTTAATGATGACGTGCAAGAAAATTAAGAATGCAGTAGCAATGCATCAGGAAACTGATGATTTGAAGAAATACTGAAACCAAAGTTTACTTTGGCTGAAATTATTAAAAAGGACATTTTTTTATTTATTGGTGTAATACTCCTTATTAAAGTTAATGGTTTTCAAAACGAACTAAGATGTAAATGAGAAAAAGGTAATTAAAAAAAAAACATCAATATGTTTGGCCAAAAAAAGAAAGCGTTGAAAAGGAAACTTTTTAGGGAATAACTATCTTCTAATTTTGCGACAGTTAAATCAGCATTAATGGTCGCAAATACCAAATTAGAAGATCAGTTACTCCCATTCTAATGCAATTCATGTATTTTGTTTTATGTCTTCAAATGCTCGGCAGGCTCACCGCAGCTAGTTTTTGCTTAGTTTGCTCAAGTTTAACTCAAACACATTCACAGAGATGAATAATGCCATTTATTTAAATGAAAATATAAAGAAAATACTTTATACAAAAGAATGGGGATCAGACTCACAAGCACCGATTGAATTACGTAAAATATGAAAAATGTCTGATCCCCCGAAAAATGACTAGAAAAAATTCCTATAAAACAATAAGATCAATCATTTTAAGAAAAATATAGCAAAAAGATGGCACATCAAAACAAAAGGGGTGACACATCAAAACCCTTAATACAGTTTATCAAAATGCAAGAGGTAGGATTGAAGGTGCGGTGGTGGGTCTTCAAAATATACGTGATTCCAAAATTACTGTGGACAGTGCGGGAATAAAAAATACAAGTGATCCGCTCAGCTGTCCACGTGGTCCTAGCCCGCTAATCATTGGCTGAAATTTCGCATACCATCGGCATAAAATCCCAGCCTGCAATATATATTACATAACCCATCACACGCATATAAATACAACGTATATGATACATAAACAACGCATTTAATACATAAATTCAATTACAATCATAATTGTTGTTTTATGTCTTCAAATGCTCGGCAGGCTCACTGCAGCTAGTTTTTACTTAGTTTGCTAAAGATAAACTCAAACACATTCACAGAGATGAATAATGTCATTTGTAGTCCAGTCAATGAACGACAGGACCCGAAACAAATTTCAAAAGAAGAAATAAATGCATAGAAAGTTTCATTTATGTACTTTTATTAATCTCTAAAAATTCGCCATTGTTTAGTCGCTGTATAATAATTTTCTGCGAATTATCTAAATTTTTGTTAAACGAAATTCATTATAGCGTAATGTGCCCTCCATATGCAATACGGAATATGACGTCATGATAACAACTAACATAACGACGGAAGATTATCTGCTAATATTCTATGTTAATTCAATAACTTTTTAAAAGATAACATTTCTATCTACTTTATTTCGACACGCAACTATTAAAAGTATTAGAGAGAGAGAACAATATTCATTTTGTTTCAATGCCCTCATAGCAGACGCATATCTCCCATAGGTCTAATGCATCTTTTAAAAATTGATAAAAATATAATACTTATATTCAACATATCAATTAGAATTATGGTTTTACAAAGAAAACCAAAGCTTTGGAAGGGTATTTTGCTCATATGTCGCTGATTATGTACGCTTTTATCGATGTGTTTACCTTGACTCTGTCCAAAATAATAAAAAAAGTACGACAGCTCAGTACAGTCACACTCGGAAAACGCCCCGCGTTTCTCTTCAATTTATTTTTTAATTTCTTCTTTTTGTTTGTACACAAACTTGAACGTTGTTTTTAGTGATATTAACAAAAAGTTACAGTGACTTGGCTTATAGAATTCCATTTAATAGAACGTGTATCAAGCCAGTGTCATTTCCTCCAACCTACGCTATCTCCGTCACTAGGGTTCTTATTTCCCCCTTTTGGAGATTTCATAATCATACAAATTCAATATTACAATACATAAAGAACCTCAAAAAAATAACAGACCCTAACATATTTATATACATGTCATAAAAATTAAAATATTATTTTAAAAATATAGAAAAAAGAATTTTAAAAAGGTACAGATATCCATGCCTTTAGTTGGCATTTTCAACATTTTTAGTGGACTTGCTACATGTATGATAGACAGTGGCACTACACACAAATTTTGAACTTGTATGAATAATTTGTTATTAAAATTTATTTTCATCTGCTGATTAGACGTTGACCAGCTCGAGCCCTCCCAGCAACGATATATATAACAATTCATCACTTAACTTGGAGATTTAGAACTACGCACACATGTACATTAAAATTAAAAATTATCTAATTTGTTGTATATAAAAAACATTTCTGATATGGCTAGTGAATGGACATCATGGAACAGTATGCTGGAATGGATTACTAAACACATCTTGACATTTAAACTGAAGGTTTGTACCAAAGACGAAGGCGAGATAGTCCAGGGCTTGGGGCTGGATGAGAAAGGATTTTATATATGGAACATCAAGTTGAATTTCCAAATTTTGATAGTTTCAACACTATTATGAATGGTTCTAAACATTCCGAAGTTTGGGTCTGCTTTCATGCAGATTCGTTCACAAACTGTGAAACAGCGCGTAGTTTCCCGAAAGTGACGGAGTTTTGGTAGTGAAAGATTCAGGAAGTTTGAATAATTGAATCTGAAAGTTAATAGGCCTATACTGTTAAAACGTATATCAATGAGGGAGTTAGCAAGATTCCAGCAAGATTCCAGTTCCCCTAGACCAGGACTATTTCTCTCGGCCCTGCGCCTCGGGAAATAGTCCTGGCAGTGGGGAACTGGAATCTTGCTAACTTCCTCAATGATAATTGTATACTAACCTTGGATATCCAATGTTCACCATTAGTTTCTGTCACTGCATTAATATTCTGTTCACCCAAATCTGAACTTTGTTTTGTGCATTATTTTGCAAGTATTCAAAGTGAAGAGTTGCCTATGCTTGCGATAATTCAGATCTGAAAGAGATTTCGAGTTATGCATAAGATAAAGAATTAAAAGTATAGAAAGATTTATACGATCTCCAGATTTCACTTCTGTAAGTACTTTTCTTTGGTTATTATAAATATTGGCTATATTAAGCGGTTGCATGGACAGATCCAGCAATTTTTAAAAGGGGGACGTGCTACAGTGCCTCGAAATGCTATTGCATAGAATCACATAACAGGCCCTTCAAGCCTGGCCACGTTTTTCAAAGGGGGAGGGGGGGGGGCTTCCAAAAAGAGTTGAAAAGCAAAACAATAAAAAATAAATAAATAAAAAATAAACAAAAATAAACAAAACACCACCACCAAACAAATAAATAAAACCATAACACAAACACCTTTAATTCTATTTCTATTTCAAAGGGAGGGGCGCTCTACACTTTCAGAACATTTTTCTTTCGAATACTTGCATTTGCCTTTTTTTCAGACAATAAAAAGCATCGAAAAGCATCAGTCCAAATCAAAGCTTGATACAAGGAGGGAAATATACTCTTCTGCATAATCCCTTTCATGACTTTTTATGAAGATGATTTAGAAATGGCATGTAGATTCAAACTGATCGCAAAAATAATTAAAAGTACTGAATATACAGTAAATAAAATTTTGCCCCCCCCCCCCCCCCCCCGCAGATGGAAATAATAACTGTTTCTTTATATATCCATTAATTTATAGGTTTATAAAACCCAAACAGATACTAATTGGTAAAATATTGAATTTCATATTTACATTTTTCACTCCGATTACAAATAATTCATTCTTCTGTACTACGTAAAACCTTTAAATTTCGCTGTATTTAGACACCTAGTATATAATGTTATTTACTATTTTTATAATTATGATAATAATGATGGTAGTACTTTTATCTAAAATTGAAAGATCTGCAAATTTTTACAGCACTATTCAGGCCTATATCTGTATCCCATTATATCGTAAAAACGGTGTATAAACTGTTGAACTTTAAAATACGATACTCTGTTTATGGAGTGCAAAAAGGTCATATCAATATTCTAAATATGTCTAGATTTGAATAAAAATAGAGCTGTATTGAATTTTACTTAAAGTTTGTAAGCTTGTAAACCTACATCAAGTTTTGATCAGTTTCAAAGAGCACAACTTGTATATATGTCCATCATTTATGTGCCATTTTCTCGCCATCGGTGACATCATATACGTTATATTTTAAGATCCATAAAAATCACTTTCCCCTTGATATACAAATTGCTTTTTTCCCTGCAATAATTACTTAATATATTAAGTATATATAGTGTTAAACATTCTTTTGCAATTTGTTTTGGGTTTTGCAAATTCTGTCGTTCATTGACTTGACTATTATTTAAATGACAATATAAAGAAAATACTTTATACAAAAGAATGGGGATCAGACTCACATACACCGATTGAAATTACGTAAAATATGTTGTTAACGTCTTATTTTGTTGAGTTTTATTACATGAAATACGTCATGGGGCATTGTGTTTTTTCGTCGCTCTATTATGACGTCACAATGAAAATACTTTAACGCTCGTTAATGCTCGTTTTACTGCTTCAAACATCAGTGCATTAGCCAATCAAAACGTGTTTTACTAAGCAATTGCAATAGAATATTGTTTTCATTGCTCGCTTCAACCGAAATAAATCATAATCTGACATATTAGACATGGACTTTGATTTGTCTTTTCACATTAAAATAATTCTCCAATTCCCGATTATTTTGTCAATTACAAAAAAATATGTCCTGATCCAGAAATGAGATAAACCAGCAGAAAGGCTTTTTGTATCATATGATTATTACAGTTAATGTATTGTTATTCAACTGCATAATAAAGATAATCAGAAATCATAATTTTTTTTAAAGAAGACATAAAACAAGGAGTACGTCGAAGTAGGTGTTGGCAAAAATAAAATTACTGATTGTGGCAGTACATTGTTACACTGTAGAATTCATGCTAGTCTTTGTTGTATTTTGCACAACATATGATAAATTAGTGATTTTCGGAAAATGTATCTTAAAACTAACATTAAAAATCATTTAGATAAGTCAGGTGTTAGATTGAATTATAGGGTGTTGGGTAAGCGAGGTCTTTTTTCATGGTAAACATTCATATGGAATTAAATGATTATTCAATATATTATAAAAACTATGTAAAATGAAATTGAATAAAATTTTACTTATTACCAATAAGAATTTAGAAAATGTAGTTTTGATTAGATTGAATCAATTATTTGTCGACTGAAACCCGTTGCTACGGATATATATGGAATGAAACGTTAAACGAATGCATTCGCATGTATTCTGAATATTGAAGATCACTTAATTTTTCCTTTTACCTGGTTTTGAGAAAATATTTTTTTTAAAATAAAATATTCCATTTCTTTGTATCTATAAAAATGTATGGATGGATTTCATGGTGTGAAATGCTCTAAACCTTGTCCTTTTCCGACATTTGGCCGGAAGTGTGAGGAGAATTGTAATTGTAAGAATGAGAGTTGTCATTACATGTCCGGCTGAAGTGAACAAAAAGTCAAAAGGCAAATGAAATTTAAAACATGTGATCTGAAGTACATGAATTCATATTCATTATTTCATCCTTATGCTGAAGTTGCTCACGTTTCAGATCAATAAGAAGTTAAAAACAATATGATTATAACAATTTTAATCAAAATATATATAAGGTAAGTGGATACTATCACATGAAAAGTATTTTTCATTTTCGATATAATAAATGTCATAGGAAATCATTTTTTCAATTTAAATGTTAATCCCTTTTTATTCAATTTTATTCGTATTTATTGTACGAGGACTGTTCAATAAATAATGTCCTGAACTCTATGACATACAATACAGATATCATATGACATAACACTTGTCATTCTCTCAGTTTTGAATCTTTAATGAATTTATAACAGTTAATGTGACCACTTTTCATCACATAGTTTCATCGTGAGAAGCTGGGAAACAAGGGCTATTCGAGACACGGCATTATAAATAAATGGTGAGAAACAGTAAACTAGAGTG